ATAGATAGATAGACAGACAGATTTTGACTAAAGTGATGCAAATAAAAGGGTCTTGGAACTATTTCAGAGATCAAAGAATTCAGCCCTTTCACGTGGAGGGAGGCCCCCATTTTAAGGAACATGGAAAAGGATACCAAGCATCAGATGGAACTCAGAAGTGGGTCAGGCTCAGGAAATAAGCCAGATGCAATTGGAAGCAAAAGCCAAGCTCAGGAGATGTTCCCATTCGAACCGTGATTGAAGGAAAAAACAACCAGTCAGTGAAGTTCACAAAAAAAGAGAGACAGACAACCAAAAGTAGCCTAATCCAGGGTTAACCTACTCTTAACCCTGTCTCTAGGCACTATGCTCCTTTGCTGTCTGCCCCCACCATTTTCTTTCCCTTTAAATGGTGTCCTAATAAATTTTTGCTTTCTCCTATTCTCCCATCTAGGTAAATTATTTTACCAGTCCACTACATTTCACTTTTTAGATGGGGCAACTGAGGCTCAGAGAAGCGTCATGACTTGTCCAAAGCCATGGGTAGCTAATGACAGAGCCAGAACTCAAACCTAGCTGGAACTTTCACTAGACCACAATCCAAAACTCCTCTGTTCTTAAGGCGCTTCCAGAAAATTACAACCATAATGCATTGGCCTTGGCGTAGATCCACATGGCTTCCCTGAGAAGCAGGTGACACTGTCAGCAGCTGAGCTACTTGTCCTGATGGTCTAGGTCAAGCCTTACTCTACTCTAGGGTGTTGGGGACAGTACAAAGTGATGTTCTCAAGTTCAACAGTTCAGGAGCAGATGGGGCACCTCCTGCTACCTTCTGGACAAATGGAATTTTCTAGGGATGCTGTATATGCTAAAGAAGGACAATGACTATTTTTTTAAGCCAGGTGGCAGATACCTGAGGAGTTTGCTTTATTACTATTATTCCTTAAAAAGTACTGTATTTCATTAACGAAATTTTTGAAAAGGAAATAAGAAATGTGAGGCGAAAAGGAGACCTCTAAGTCTGGTGGGGTAGATACTTAAAAGGCAAAGAGTTGGCAGTGGGTTGATGTGATGACATGACCAAAACAGAGAGTTGGTCAGGTTTTGTTCAGTTCCAGGGTATCATTTTTCATAATCATCTAAGAGCTGAACTCAGATCACACCAAGAAAAACTGCAAATATTAAAAATGTAAACTGGGAATGGTGATACATGTCTGTAATCTCAGCACTTAGGAGGTAGAAGCAGGAGGATAGTAAGTTAGAGTCTAGCCTGGACTACATAGCAAGTTCTAGGGAACCCTGGATTAGAAAACAAAATTCTGTCTCAACGAAATCAATAAATAATAAATAGCCAGCAAAACAGAGGAAAACAGGAGAGAATTGTTCTGCAATTTGAATGGAAAAAGACTTTTGCATTACAGCTCAAAATCCAAAAGCCATAAAAATGATTGATATATATGACTAGAAAAGTCAAATCTGCATGGAAGAAATATCTTCCATTGGCTCAAAAAAGCAAACAATAACAATTAAAACAAAACAAAACTGGGAAAGCTGGGCACCAGTGGCTCCTGCCTGTAATTCTAACTACTTAGGAGGAATGTGGTTTAAGGTCAGCCCAGGCAAATAGTTCAGGAAACCAAAACCACATCTCCAAAATAACCAGAGCAAAAGGGACTGGAGTGTGGCTCAAGCTATATAGAGAGCCTACTTTGCAAGTGTGAAGCCCCAAGTTCAAACCCCAGTGTCACCAAAAAAAAAAGCCCTAGGGAAAAAATTTGCAATCACACTACAAATAAAAAGATCATCCCTCTAATATATAAATCAACAAGAAAAAGACCAATAGAAAAATTAATGAAAGTTTATTAAAAAGGAATTATAGGCAATTCTTAATTATGTATGAAAATATTGTCAAAATTCATTGATAACAAAACAAGTGCAAATTGAAATATACGTTAGCACTTTTTAACCTATTATCTTCACAAAGGTTTTGAAGGCTAATGACACACTATGTTGGCAAAGACTTTGGGGAAAAGAGCAACCTCATACAATGATGGTGTAAATATGAGTTTCCTTTGGAAGGAAATTTGTCAGTATTTTTCAAAATTACAATCCTGTATCGTCTTGCCTCCCTATTTCAAGAAATTTATTTCACATTACATTATATACCTATGCGTGATATTTATTGCAGTATAGTTTATAATAGCAAAATACTGGCATTAACCTAAAATGTCCACTAGTGGGGACCGACTAAACACAGCATGGCTCCCTTACACAATGAAAGACTATGCGTTGATATAGAAAGATCTGGAAGAAGATGCTGGAGGGGTAGAGGAAATGTGGTTACTATGGGGGAGATTCTAGGCAGGTGAGGATCAATGTGGAAAGAAGACCCTTCTGTTCATCTCTTCATATGCTTTATGATTTTGGAACATACAATGCATTATCTGTTCAGATTTTAATTTAATTTATTTAAATAATTAACCAGGGACCTTGTTAAACATGCATGTGGCTTCAGCCAACATTAATTCTATTCACGCTGAATGTCCAGCCTGAACTACTGCTATGCTCTCGCCCCTAAGAGTGTCGTGTTATTTCTTAAAGGACTCATACCCCTTTAGCTCTAGCTTCTGAGTTTAAAGTAACAGTGGAAGCAACCACCACAAGGGAAGTGAGTGTCTAGTGAACCACCATCTGCCCAAGTCTTCTAAGATGGATGTCATAATTATTATATGGGTTCCAGAAAGCAATTTATAGCCAGGGATGGTTCCCGACTCCAATCCCTCTTTTTTTTTTTTTTGTACTATAGATAGAAAAAATTGAAAAAGAAAGGAAACAAGCCATTTTGAGCATGAGTGATTGGTGGATGAATGAGAGAGAGCCAAGCAGTCTTCAACGATTGTTTCCAACCACTGTCATCCACACTGTGTTCATGAGCTTTCCACAGCAAAGCTATAGATGTGGATTAAAAGAAAAGAGCCAGTGGACACAGACAAAAACCACACAAAACCCTTACCCATGGTTCAGCTGGAAAGCTATCACAAGTCCGTCTTTTCTGGCATCTACTAAAGTTGAATCTATGCACGCTCAATGGCCAGCAATTCCAGTCTTAAGAGTATACCAAGGAAATGTACTTACTGGTGCAACAGAAGTCACAAGTCACAGAATGCCCTTAGAAGCACCATCCCTGGTAATCAGAACCAGTACATTACTCAAGTGCTCAAGATTAGGAAGAGGTAGATTCCAACCATGAAATTGTAGACAGCAAGGAGGATGACAGGACTGGAATTCCATGCAACAATCTCACAGAATGTTGAGTAAAATAAGTCAGACAAAAAAAGAAAACAAGAGGAATGTTTTAATTTGGATGTTAAAAAAATTAGGGTAAAAAGAACCTTTGACTTTAAAAGTGAGAATGTTGGTAGAAGACAGTGACTGGAAGAGAGTGGGGAGGGTGTTTCTGGAGATTAATAATCCAGATTGGAAATTTGTGCAGGTCACCAAGTAGTATACTCAATGTTTAAATTTTTTGCACTATTGTTATGCTTTAATTTAAAAGTTAAAAAATCATTCCAGGGTCTGGGAATCTAGTTCAGTGGTAGAGTGCTTGCCTAGCATGTGTAAAGCTCTGAGTTCGATCCCCTGCGCTGCAAAATTAAAATACAATTCCAAGGCAGAATGAGCACTGTGTGAATGAGTTTTGGCTGAAGTCCTGGGTTCAACTTCTAGATAAATGTTCTCCCTGCTCCTGCCGAGATACCAAAGAGATTACAAAGAAGAGGTGGAAGGATAGAATGCTCCCAACAAAAATTCCTGGGGAATTATGCAGAGATCTGGGCTTGATGGATTAGAGGGGTGCCTTGATCCCCAACCAGGCAAAGCAAGCAGCAGGAGGAAGAAGTGAGTAAGCTGGTGAAGAAAGTACCTGCAGTCACGGGTCTGGCTCAGGAATCCCTGACAACAAAAATCCCCACAAAAGTTAATTTTCTGGATAATCAAAACTTCTCTCATTAAACAGCTCCTTCATTTAAAATGAAATCATTTTTAATGGAATCCTTTCTAAATTGCATTTCACACATCCCTAACTTCTTGAAGATCCATGAAATAGAACTTAACCTTTTCAACAAATGACAACAACAATTAGGTCTTTGTGCCAGACATTACCCAAAATACTTTCCATCAAGTCTGCTTTCTGAATCATCACAAAGATCTTATGCATTAGGTCCTATTAGTGCTCCTATTTTATGCATGAGGCTAAGGATGATTAAATAACTATCACAGGAGGTCACACAGTGAATAGTGGAGTCAGTCACAGTTTCTTGAAAGCTTGAACTTCTGACTGCTGCATTCTTTTTTTACAGCTTCATTGATCAAATCCATGCTTCACTATTCTCCACAATGCCAGCAAGAAGACAAGAACTCTCTCTGTACCTTTAAGGAAATGATTTGTGTTCTCATTGTTTTCCTCTCCTTAATTTCTTTCTTCCTTATTGTTATTTTTATTTCCAGTGACAGAATGAAATTCAGGACCTCCTGTGTGCTAAGCAAATGCTCTCCACTGAGCTACACCCTTAGCCTCCTTCAACAACATTACATGATTAGTTTTCACATCAAGGTGTGCCCCCACCCCGTCAAAAAAAAAAAAAAAGAAAAGAAACTCCTACCTAAAATCTGATAAAAGTCTTTGCTTTCACTTCTTTAAACTCTCAACCTTCTTAGATCTTTCTATTTGGCTAAAATATCCCCTGGAGTTGGATCTCAACTTCTTTATCAGTATAAGAAACCCCTCTGTTTGCATTTCAGAGTGTCCTGGATTTGCCTTTTCTGAACACAACTGGGAAGGAAGTCTATGATGCCCATCAGATTAACAAAATGCCCAGCCCTCTGCTGGGGTCCATCTGACCTGCAGTGGCTCTCCAGAAAATAGACAGCAGTGCAGATAAGCATCAAGGCATGCAGAGAGTCAATTTCTGCATGCTTATCAGCTGGCAGGCCTGCAGAGAAAAAGGAAGGACCGTTCTTACCCCGTTTTCAAGCTGACCAAGGCATCTTCTACTCCCTTCTGGTTAAACTTGGTCATGTATTGGTGCATGTAGGGATAGTTATTCCGGATGTTTCTTTCTGTACTTCCGTTAGGCACTGTCCCAAATCGGAAAGGTGGAGAGTAGTCATGAGGTCTCTGAAACTGAGAGAGAAAGGGAAAAGCAGCAGAAAACGAGGAGAGGACGAAGTTAGCTTAGTGGTCATTTCGTCAAGTGACAGGAGCTAAACACACACGTGTCAGTACAGGAAAACAAAACATTTATCTTTGTGCTTTCTTTGTATTTAATCTCATCTTCTGTTGGCTTGTGAGCCCCAGATGGGTGGAAACAACGTCTTATGTTTTTCTCCACTGATCACCAGTTCCCATTACAGGGCTTGGCTGGTTGCTCGATAGTCACTGACTGGGTTAAGTTTTTCTGTAGCATTATAGAGACTAGTGTGGGGCTGGGTACACAGTCAATGCTCAGGAAATGCTGACTGAGCTGGAATGAAGCTCATTTATGTACTATATGATGAAGTTTTCCGTGATGTCCACCAGTCACTCTGAGCTCTCAACTCCTTACCCAGAAAATGACTGTAGGCTACCGTTCATTCATCCTCCACCCACTCATTTGTTCATTCATAGAGGTGACATTGATTGATTAACTTACCCTGGGCCCAATGCCTGGCATATGACAAACCCCAAGAACATTTGTGAGCTGAAGTCCCTACTGCCATGGCTTTCTGGAATGCCCAGGTCTCGCCTGGCTCTTGAGCCTCCATCAAGGCAGGTTCTGGGAGTCTTCTCTGATCAACTGGCTGCCACTGGCTGCCACAGTTTGGACATTTCAGGTGACTCACCCAATCAGAAGTCAAGAGAACTAAACCTAGAGGTGGTCCAGGCAAGAGTTAATGAGTGCAAGCTTGGATTCTATCACTTCCAAACTATGGGACCTGAGACAAGTTCACTTTACACTGCCTCCGTCTCTTCCACCTGTACAGCAGGGATCATACCAGTACTTCCCTTGTAGGTTTCTGAGAAGAACTAAAATCCTAACATTTGTCATATAACTGGGATGGCTTTTATTAGTTTTTGTTTTTATTGTCATTGAAGGTAGAAAAAGTAACCTGAGCTGCATTTTTCTATGGAATGTGAAATTCTGGAACTACTAAGCAGTAGTGATGATTGCTGACACTTGTTTAGAATTTAGTTGGGACAGGGACTGTGCCAAAAACTTTACTAGTGTAAGCTCATTTAATACTCACAATGATCTTGCCATATATCAAATCTTAGAGGCAATGAGGAAACTGAAGCTCAGAGAGGTTATATGACCTATTTAAGGTCACACTATCAAGTAGTGGCCTAGAATTCAAATCTAGATAGTCCAAACCCTGGCTATCATCCCTTCAACACCATTGCTAGTGACTCTTCTTGGTCCAAGACAAGGACCTAGAAGAACTGGGTATGGTGGTGCACACCATTCTGTAATCCCAGCACTTGGGAGGTTGAGGCAGGAGGATTGAGAGTTAGAAACCAGCCTAGGTTACATAGCAAGACCCTGTCAGAAGGAAGGAAGGAAGAAAGGAAGGAAGGAAGGGAGGGAGGGAGGAAGAGAGGGAGGAGAAGATGAAGACCTGGAGACCCCAGGAGGATGAGAATCCCCAGCCAGCAGGAGTGAGAACCAGGACCACAAGGCAGAGGTCTCTCCAACTCCAACTCTAGCAGGATGTCTGGAGAAAGTGTCCAAGTTTACCCAAGAGTCAATCCAACCAGAAACATTATTCTTGTTTCCAGACTCACACTTCATTTCACTGTTAATTAAAATTTCCAGTGGAAAATCGTTTTCCCTAAATTAGCCATGCTGTTGCCTAATAAGTAGTCAGAGCTGGATTTGGGAGAAGTGGTCTCCATTGTCTACTGAGCTCCTCCGGCTGGGGCACACCTGCTGTCGGGAGTGTGTGTGTGTTGCTATATGTGTGTGTGTCTGTGTGTTATATGTCTGTGTGTGTGTTGTGGGTCTGTGTCTATCTGTGTGTCTGTGTTACATGTGTTGTGTATGTTATGTGTGCTGTGTGTGTCTATGGTTGTGTGTTGTATGTCTGTGTGTTGTGTTTGTGTCTGTGTGGTGTGTGTGTGTTTATGCCTGTGTATGTTGTATGGTCATGTGTATTGTGTGTCTGTGTCATATGTGTTGTGTGTTATGTGTGTGTTGTCTCTATGTGTGCTGTGGGTATGTCTGTGTGTGTCTGTGTATGTGCTTTGTTTCTATGTATTGTGTCTATGCATATGTTGTGTGTGCTGTGTGTATCTGTATGTGTTATGTGTCTGTGTGTATGTGTTGTGTGTCTGTGCATTGTGTGATGTATGTGTTGTGTGTCTCTGTGTGTTGTGTGTCTGTGTGTGCATCTGAATGTGTTGTGTGTGTTGTGTGATATGTGTGTTGTGTGTGTCTGTGTGTTGTGTGATGTATGTCTGTGTGTGTTGGGTTGCATGTCTGTGTGTGCATATGAATGTGTTGTGTGTCTGTGTGGTTTGTGATGTGTGTTGTATGTCTCTGTGTGTTGTGTGTGTCTGTGTATTGTGTGATGTGTGTGCAGCAAAATGCTGTCTGTAGTCACCCTGCTGAGCAGCACCCTGGCTCACCCCCAGCAGAGATAGCGCAGTGCAGGCTCATTTGCATGGGGTGCCTGCTCTGGGGGAGCAGCAGTAATGGCGTTGCTCATAAATCTAGCTGTTGTGCAGCCGTTCCCAGTCTCCAGAGACATGGAGATGGCCTATTTGACTAAACGCCCTCCACTTCACTCCCCATCTGTTGCAGGAGCAGCATGGCTCTTTTAAGATTGACTTTCTTCCTTGTCTCTGATTTGCACAGTGACAGAGACAGAGCCATGGGCTCTGTGAGGGTCTCCACCCTTCTCTGACAGGGATAGTCCCCCCCTCCAAAATTCAGACCAGCCCCAAGATCCAGGAACTTGTTCTACCAGATCAAAGACTGTCAAACTTTTAAAGCATGATTCACAATACACCACACACACACACACACACACACCCCAAACAGGAAACTTCACAATACTCATTCTTTCCACATGAGATACACTCTCATGTTATCTACTATATTTAATCTCTTTTTAATGATCATAACCCCTAAATTAACTCATGGCTCACTGAGGAATCATGGACTACAGTATAAAAAGTTAGGGACTGAGGGCCAGCACAGTAGTTCACATCTGTAATCCCAGCTACTTGGGAGGCAGAGGTGGGAGGACCATGTTCTGAAGCTGGCCTGAGCAAAAGTGCAACACTCTATCTGAAAAATTACTAAAGCAAAAGGACTGAGACATGGCTCAAGCACTAGAGCACCTGCCTAGCAAGTATGAGGTCCTGAGATCTAATTCTGGTACCACCAAAATTTTAATTAATTAATTAATTAAAGTTAGGGGCCAGGATCGCTTACATCCAGGTTTACAGCAAAGACATGCTATAATTCCTACAGGAATGATTTTTGTGGGACTTTCTCCCCATGAGTTCCAAATGTAAGCAGAAAGAAACAAATACAGCTTTAGCAAAGGAAGGGGTGGTAGAGGTCTTCCCGCCCTTAGCAAGATCCCAGAGCCCAGAGTCAGGGGAGCTCCTCCCATCTCCAGGCTTCCACAGTTGTTCCTGACTCTCCCTGCCTGGGACTCAGACCAGCCAAAGCCAGCTTCTCCTCTCCCACTGGGAAATGCAGCATTCTGGGTAGCCCTTTAAGCTCTCTGAGAGTCAGTTTCTCTCTCTTACATGGTGGATAACCTTTGGAAACAACAGGTGACACTCTTGGTAACCTGCCATCGCCCAGAGTAGCTTCAGCCAAATAATGGAGCCAGTCTCCAGTGTGGAGAGCACAGGCTCATTTCCTAATTTTTTTCTATTCATCCATAGTGAATAAGACGTCACAGTAAACACTTATAATGGAGGAGGTAGAGACGCAGGGCTAGGAAGTAAAATTGCCAGGGAACTATCACCCTGAACCAAGGCATGTCTTCACCTTGCCTTCTTCTTGTGGCCCTAGCACTAGAAGTCTGTCTTCTGGGTTTAAATGTGGAACCCTGCCAACTGGAGCTCACGTTTCTAGTACAACCTTGGGTGGTGAAAGCATCACAGGCTTCTTGATGGAGCATAAAACAGGCATAGCCTTCAGTAGAGGGAGGGTTGGGTCAGAGGCCTCCCTGTCTAGCCTGGAGCCACCCAGGAGCACAGGTCACAGTCCCTGGAGGTGACATGACTCTGAGAACACATGCCCTGGCTCACCTATCAAAGAAAGTCTCCTGAATCTCCTCCATTAGCTGCCACAGAAAACCAACTCAGTGCAATACCACTGCAAGCCCCAGAACTGGAACAGGTAACTCAGGCAGTGATAGTGGCAATGAGAAGAGGTAGAGGAGGAGGGAGAGAAGAATGCAGGAGGAAGTGAGAAGGAGGAAACAACATGACGGGATCGTCTTCCCTGTGCCAGGGGTGTTTATTTCTGATCCTCATATCCACCTTGCCAGAACGGTATTAGTGTCTTCCTTTATTACCAAACCAAGCTGTGTGATGTTGACATTTGGAAAGCCACATGACCTTCATATGGCAAGGTCAGGATTTCAATGCTGGTCCATTTGACCCCAAACATGATGTCGGTCTTCTCACCACATGAGTCTGCCTTCTAGACAGATCTCTCTGTCACAGTGATTCCCAGCATTCTGGAACTCAACTTTCCGTGAATAATTTCTAGGAGAGTTTCTCCTGCAAGTTCACTTTCATAATTCAAGCCTAAGTTCATTTGAGCATCTTTCACACCAAATACTGATGGTTTAAAAGTTTTATAAACCTGAGTGGTTACTCAGGTACTCATGGTTAACAAACAAACAAAACGCAAAACCAAACACAACCATGGTGTACAATACTAAAATAAGCTGATTCATCATAGACTTGTATTTTGCAAACTTTCTTAGTGTATCTAACATTAATCTCCTAGGAGCATTTAGTTTATTTACTCTAAGAATTTTGCTGTTTATCTAATTGCATCAAACATTTAATTAAAAGAGCTATCAGCTTGCCTTTAATGCTCTGAGCATAGAAACTGAGCTGTGTCCCATGAGGTTATGATATCTTACTGGCTCTTCCCAAATCACAGAAGGTCAGTCAAATTATTAGTGCTACTAATTTAGTTTTTTCACAACTGGTCATATTATTTAGATCCCAAGTTATGAAGCAAGGGAATTTTTTCTCTTTGGCTTTAAAAAATTACAACAAAAAGCAAAATATGTTACTGACTGCTTCCTTGAAAAATCCTCCCATCCAAGACTCGGGTCTCTCACCACTTCTGTGGAATTTCAAATTACTTCTTCTAGGAATTGTATTTTTGAAATCATAACATAATGGAGTTGCAGAACAGCACATTGTGTCTGTAGAGGATGTTTAGGGTACAAGGTACATTCACATACGCAGTTTCTTTTTTGTTTGTTCTTTGGTGTGTAGTGGGTTTTGAACTCAGGGCCTTACACTTGCTAGCAGGCACTCTACCACTTGAGCCATGTCTCCAGCCCTTTTTGCTTTAGTTTATTTTTCAGCTAGACTATCACTCTTTTTGCCCAGGTGGATCTTAGACTGTGATCTTCCTGCCTCCACCTGCCACCTAACTGGGATTGTAGGTGTGGAACACCATACTCAGCTTGTTTTTTGAGACATGATCTTGCTAACTTTTGCCCAGGCTGGCCTCAAACTGTGACCCTCCCATCTCCACCTTCTGTGTAACTGGGATTATAGATGTGAGCCACCATGTCTGGTTGTAGTTTTCTTTGGTACTCTCCACAACTATAACTACCAGATTCAAAGAGAAGAATGAGTGGGCATGGTGAGGATGCATGGTGCAGCTGGTCATGGCAGGCAGGAACCAGGAATCCAACTTTTCTGGCTCTGAATGCAATGCTTTGGCAATTCATGGATACCATGTGCTTTAGATAGGATCTTCAGAATCCAACCATGAGCCAACGTTTTGGTGAACATGATTTATGAATGAAGTGCTCCAGGAGAAACCAACAAATGGGAGGGGGAGAGGGAGAATTAAAGAAGGAGAAGAAGCCACCAAGTGTCTAATGGCTGACAAGGCCAATTCTCAGTCTCTGCCTGATTCGGTTGGGAGCTCTAGAGAATCAATGGTGCCTCCCTGTTTGTCTTACTGAAAAGCAAGGGTGCTGCTGGGCTTTTGACCTTGTCACACTGGTTACAGGTGACCACAAAGACAAGGGAGACTTAAATTCTGACACATCTACAATTGCAATACCCACAGGTAATAATCCTGATGGTCACTGGTGGGAGCCTTTGTGGGCAGGGAACACAGGACAGGAAGAGTCCCAGGAGACCCAAGTGGCAGTGCCTGTGTCCAACACATCACACATTTCTTCACTCAGGTAAATATTGGATGCCTTCTAAGTTCCAGAGAACTCTGAAGAGCACCTCCCCAAGCCCCAGAGCCAGTTCAGTCTGACCAGTTTTATCTCCCTTCTAACATGTATTCTTGCCTGATACTTACTTGTATATTGTTTATTTCTTCCTATTAAAACTTAAGTTCCTCCAGAGCCCTACCCCAGTCTGCCAAGTTCACTCAGGTAGCTAAGAAAGACATCTGAGGGACAGGAATTTTCCCCCAAACCTGAAATTCAAGGAGGAAACAGTCATAAAAAGACTGGGGACAAAACATTCAAGGCAGAGGACATAGGAAGCCCAAAGACACTGGAATGGAAATGAACTTGTGGAAAGAGAGGGAGCTTTGGTAACAAGAAGGGGACAACATGTAGGAAGTGATTGGATAATAAAGGCATTGTGCGCCACGGTAAGTAGAGGTACTGACTCCAGCTGTCGGGGGGAACCCTCCAAGACAGGCCAACCACTCATGTGTCACCTTTGTGAAGGTGACCCCATCTTTAACCTCTACCTCTCGTGTACCCAAAGCTCTGTTTACCTCTTTGTATGCCGTGGATAAGCTGCAAAGTCTTTTTCATGGACTGATTTTCTATTCAGCAGTTTGTTGATGAATGCCAAAAGGATATATGCAGACTTATGTCAACTAGATAGGACAAGGAAGTTTTATAAAGAGACAAATTATCCTCATGCACACCAGACAGAAAATCTCTGCCGGGCTGCAGTCTCAGCACTGCTGAGTTTAGCAAGTCAGGATTTGTCTCCTGAACTAAAATTTGAGTAGGAGAATGCACCCAGTTTACCTCTTTTCTTCCTCCACGTGCTTTTCTGAATAGCCACTCAAAGCCTGCAGCCCTCGCTATGATTCAGTGGAGAAGGGCAAGAGCAGGTGTTATCCCACCAGTCTTACTGACATGGCATGCACTGAGTGTGTCCGAGAAGACGGGTCCTCTCTGCTCTTCCCAAGTCCCTTGAAGACATTTCAGGAGGGTCAGGAATGTTCCTGATGAGGCTGACTTGGCTACACAGTGAAGAAAGGCTGTGGAATAATCTTGTTTCTGGGTAGTACTTGCAGGTGACTTTTTTCATGCTATACCTGAGGAATCCAAGGTATGAGTATACAGAAGACTCATCCAAGGTCACAGAGCTAAGAGGTTCCTACAGCCTAGTGTGTCCCTTCACCCCAGGTGTGTTCAGGCCAGCTGACCTCAGCTACAGGGTGCTCTTAGTCATGCATCGTTTACCTAAGCATCCTCAGGAAATCATCTCAACGTAAGAAGTGACCATGTGGTGAAACTGATTCCAAATTAGATCCTGAATCTGTTAGATACATGAGAGCTAAGCTTAAGGTTCTGTTCCTAAACTTTTTAAGAAATATACAATTTTTTAGAAATACACAATTTTTAGAAATATACAATTGGGCTTTGAGCTTTAAAGTGGATAGGTTGGGATGACAGGTGCCTGAATTAGTCTTTTCTGAGGAGAGAGCAGATAATACCAACCTTCAGACAGTGAAAAGAAGGTGACTTTACCTTTTTGTCACTGAGGCCAGTCACTTGGTCCACAAATTCCTCCTGGATCATGAAGGCAGCCAGATTGGCTGTGTAACTGGCGAGGAAGATGACAGCAAAGAAAGCCCATACAGACACCATGATCTTGCTGGTTGTGCCTTTAGGATTCTGGACAGGCACAGAGTTGTTGAACACCAGGCCCCAGAGGAGCCATATCGCTTTCCCGATTGTAAAAGAAGGCCCATGGGGTGCTGCAAACGACAAAAGGACATTCTCAGTACTTGCTCAAAAGGATGATAACTATATGATGGCTACTGGCAGCACTGAAGGGTGCCAGAAGATGGAACCAAGTCATGGCTGTGTCCTATCCTTTTCCTAGAACCATAGCCACAGTTTACTTCCATTATCTTTAAAAATTAGCATTCTTCTCACATTCCTACCTAACTAGATTTTGCCATGTTTCCTTTTAAAAAAGAAAATGGTTATGCAAAATGGGGGGTTGAATGAGAAGCAGTGTAATGACCTGCTTCAAATATGGATTTGGTTTCTATTTGGGGAAAGCAATCTCCTCAATAAATGTAAAGAAAGCCTGACAAAAACCTGTAAAATAAAAAAAAGTGGAGGGGTGCTTCAGAATTCATTGTATGTTATCCTCCAAGAACCACGCAATTCAGCAGGACTGATGTCTGGTATTCTAATTTGATTCTCCCTACCAATTGCTCCTGTTCAAATTCAGATGTAAAGTATGCATGATATAGGAATTTAACCAAACCAAAACTTTTTCCAAATGGAGACATTAAGAAACAGAACAATAGAGCTTAATTCTTTCAGCACTTCACAGATGGAAGACATTTCATTGCAGGGTCATGGAAAATGAACTGTGATCTCACAGCACATTTTTCTGTCCCTGTGTATCCTTGCAACAGCAATGTTTCTCTTTTAAGATTCTTAAATGTTCCTTGTGACAGCTTAGCTAAAGAGCCAGGACAAAATGCAAACGTTTATTGGGATGTGGCCCAGGCAGACTGTAAAACACGCATGCACGTTGGGTTTGCAAGTCTTTGTTTTGCACGGGGAAAATCAATTGATGCTCTCATTTCGACAGAAGAAAAAGAAAAGGTCTTCTTTTAGGGGAAGGTTAATTTTTATATGTCATTTAAGTAAATGAAGATATGAAAAAATGATGTACTGGGATTTCCATTGGCAATGCAAGCAAAGTGGGCAATTAATAAAGGGGCAGAGTGAATTCAGACTGATAGAAGTTATGCAGTCCTGGGCAGTAAGCCTAAGAAAAGCAAGCTTCCTCCATTTGAAGCCAAATTCAGGCTCCACACACTTGCAACGTCCATGATACAATGCATTAAAGAGAATGATTAATTCTATCATTTTCAATCTTCCCTGATTCTCTTTGCCTAGTTTGATGAGCTCCTTGGTGTATTCCCTAGAGTCTGGCAACTCTTAAGGAAAAGAAAAAAGAGTTAATCCAGTTAACTCCATGAACTACTTGATTTTATTAGATACGCATGTTGATCAGAAGTGACAGCTATGTGGGATCAGATAGATAGGTAAAATGGATCTATCTAGCACTTTTGGGAATTTCCTGATTTAAGGATGCAATCACTGGGCCTTATAACTTACCCCATAAAATGCAGCAGAATATAACAAAGCCATTTCACACAAAGAAACAAGAGCTATTGTTTCCTGAGGGTCCCTGTGGTTGTCCCATGCATATTGGGGGAGCTGCAGCATTTATGTGCTGGATACCTTTCCTGATGATAGTCACTTCCTGGCAAGAGTCACCAGTGTGTGCTTCAGCCAAGGGAGAAATTATTGCACATGATGGTCTTGCATCTTTTTTACTCTCCATGACATATCTTAAATGCAACCACTTAGCTCCATCTTCATTGCCCTCAACCAAGTCCAAACCACTGTAATCCTTTTTCTTAGAAAACTGTGACACTTTCTTCACTGATCTCTTTGGTTCCACTGTGGCTGTGCCCACCCATAATCTTGGTAAACAGCAATATTTTCACATTGTATACAGTTGCTAATCCTGACTCTTCGTGGTGTTTTGAAGAAAATTTGAAATGCTTGTTTACTGCATCAACTGCTTATCCCTTCACTTCCTCTCCTATTTCCCATCTCACTCACTCACTACTCAGTCAGCCAGTCACTCACTCACTCATTTGTTCACTCACTCACTTACCCACTCACTCGTTCACCCCTCATTCACTCACTCACTCAATCATTCACTCACTCACTGTCTATCTTTCCTCTTTCTTGAACATGTCAGGATGGGCTCTAGCTCCAGGCCTTTGTGTTTACTGTTCCTGGCATGTTTTCCTCTGTTTTTCACATGGCTAAAATCTTCTCCTTTAGGTCTCAGCTTACTGTCATTGCTTCCAAACATCCTTCCCTATTTTAACATCTTATCTAAGTGGCAGGCCAGCCTTACCACACACATCACTCTGATATTTTTCTCCTCTTCTTCTTGAAAATTATTACACTGTGATCATTCATTTACGTATTTACATGGTTTCTCCACAACTAAATCTTAAGATCTCTTAGGGTCAGGAAATCTGTATGTGATTCAGCTTATTACCTTCACAAGCAGAGTGTGGGTACCTAAGAACCCACTTGATAAATGTATGCTTTCACAGCAGCACAAACTCTGACTGTAAACATTTAAAGATCGCTTTCACTGCAGTATGACCATTCACAGAAAACTGCCTCCATTTCTATTCTGTTGGAAAGCTCTTTAATGTGTAGTTGCATTGCTCTTTCATTGAAGACAGGAAATCTCCCACTTAAACACAGCATGATCATTTATGACATTTTTACTCTTTGGTTGACTGGAGATGGTTTACACAGTAATAACCACACTTCTACACTTAAGACCTGGGAGGACTTCAATGAAACTGAGTTCATAATGGATTTCCATGACCTGTTGACTGTTTCAATATTGGATTTTCGAAGTGAAAAGACTGTGTGTTGAATTAAAGTGTTCTGTCTTGGGGGTGTTTGAAACTTCAAGATCTTTTTTTTTTTTTTTTTTTTGCCTAATACTGGTGATGGAACTCAGGGTCTTGTACATGCAAGGTAAGCCTTCTACTACTGAGCTGCATCTCCAACCTCAAGGTCTCCTATCCTCTACCACATTCTGTTATTCTCAGGAAAGAGACACGGTGTGCTATTTTTCTGATAATGTCCACTTAGAAGATGTTGTGCATTAAGGAAAATCCACTCAAAATGATGTAATAATTTATCAACATTGGCTCCATGGGTGTCTTTTAAGGAATTATAGCCAATGAATATCTCCCAATTCAATTTTTGATCCACCAATTGATCTTTTTTCAAATAGAGTGCACTAAGGTCAGCACTATCAAAATGAAAAGTAAGTCTTTGGGGAAGGATACCATTTTATAGTTCTATTTATTATCAAATGAATGCAAATATGAAAGAGAACTTTGAAAGAGTGTTCTTAAACTAGATTTATAAGGCCATTTTCTTTGCATAAACTGAAATTGAGACTTATGATTTTAATAGTTATTTTGACATATATTTTAAATTAATTGCCAGAAAGCCTTCAAATATGCTTTCTCACAAATTGAATATCAATGGTTTTCCTTTAATCACTATTGATTTCAAGCTATAAGAAGATTAAAGTGCTCCTTTTCATTTTATCTTTTGTTTTGAGTTGAAGTAAATAAATCATTACTTGTCTGGCATCTTAAGTCATATCAGTGAGTCAACACCAGTCATATGATGGTTTACCAAGGCAATGTAGGATAATAAAATAGCATCAACTTTGAATTGTGCTTAGGAAGGTTTCCTTACCTTTCCCTTTAGCTAAGTTTCTGTTGTATCCAACAGGACTGAAGTATTCAAAGACAAAAACAGCTATGGCTGAGACAATAAGTAGCATCACAAACATCATCACCCAGACAGAGGCGCTGAATGGTTCTGTGGAGAAACAGACAAGAGGAACAGATAGTCGGTTACCTTTTGCTCACCTCCAGCAGGAAGCCTGGATCTCCATTTGCAGGCTCACCAAGAAACTCGCTGTAATCCAAATCTGATCATTCTAAAGAAGCTGGTCATTTTTTATTCATACATTTAAACCATTCTTTATTCTACAAAATAGTTGAGGTATTTTATAAGGCTGCATGTAATATGATAAAAATAGAAAAAAGCATATGACATTTTATAAATTAGGTCAGGGATAATATGGAAAAGAAGAATGATAAGATGAGGGGAGAAAGTTGGTATGCAAATAAACAGGGCCCCGTATAATTATAGAACTATTCAGAGAACAAAAGCTGGGGAGAAATGGACTAGACCCAAATAGTTAGCCATAAGGTGTCTGCAAATTGGCCTAGCTTTGAATTTTACTTTCATCTGTATTTTTACATCCTGGCAGAACGATGTGTGGAGGATTGCAGAAGTAAAGAGGAATTATAACTAGTTAAAAAGGATTATAAAATAGTGGGGTTGACAAGAATATTGGAAGGTCACAACCTGCCACCTTCTACTGCAGACAGATGAGCTCTCTACAGTCTTCAAATCTTACTTATGTGAGTAGCAAGCTTAAATGCAATTAAAAGTCATTTGAGGACATCATGTTCACATGATGGTTCAATGACAAGGCATCACCTATACAGTAGAGATGATCAAGTAATAAATGAGTAGATGGTTATTTCTCCTACAAGTCATCATCACCAGTTGATTTCCAAGTAACCTAGGTGGGAGGGCCATGTCTCAGAAGTCAGGGCCAAGTTACAAGAGTCTGATACTACTCTAGGAAGGTAAAATAGGTTAGCATCTTGATTAAGGATATGACAATCAGCTGATTGAAGCTAGTTTATCCATTTTTTGTTATATTGGGGTTTGAATTTAGGGTCTTGCACTTGCTAGGCAGGCACTCCACAACTTTAGCCATGCCCCATCCCTCGTTTAGTCCACCTATGATATAGATTTGCCAGAAAATCAGCAGAGGTTAAAATGTCAAAAATAAGTATATCTCTGTTTGATTGAATCATTGGGAAGGAACTGTCTGTTGACAACAATGAACTTGAAGTTCTTTTCCTCATAAGCAAACACGTTCTGAGGGTAAAACATGATAATGCAACAATGCTTCTTGAATAGTAAACATTTTATTATTTATAAATTGTTTACATGGAGCCCATAATAATAAAGAACCATAATGAGAATGAACAATTTAGCTGACTGCAGGCCACCTTCTCATTCGAGTCTGTGACCACCTAACACAGCTAGACGTCATCACAAACTCCAATTCTATAATCTTAATGTCTAGCAAGGAACTGATATGCCTGAAGCTGCAATGACAATAGATAATTTAAAACAAACTAGGCCAATGCAATATAATTTTCATAGCAGACATATGTTAAAAAGCAACAGGCAATAGTGTAACTTGACGTAATACAAGATGAGTGCCAAGAAATCGATGGGACTATAACTGAAATTTATCTTAATTTAGCTTGAGTAATAAACAGTATTACGCTCTGAAATTATCACAAGTGGGAAATGAGATATACCCAAAAAAGGAGGATAGACAATGAATAATTAGGAGATCAAAGGTATTTAATATTCAAAAATAGAGTCGCCTATTGTCCAAGTCGGGTATAATAATGACACGGTGTGTCTTACCAGAGGAGGTTCACTGTGCTGAATGCATGAGCTGATACTGTGCCTTGAGCCCTGCACACACACCATATAGTCAAGGGACTAGCTGTCCAAAAATGGTAAGGATGGTGTGCTGTCCGTGGTACTGAAAAAAGCGCCCTGGCTTAATAAATGCACACTTATAAATCTGGTAACTCCCCTTTCCTCCATAGGAAGAATTATTATTTTATAATAGTATTATTTTCATAATATTATGAAAATCAGGGAAAACCCTTACTGACTTTTTTTGGCTCACGTGTCAGAATTTGTAAACCTGTTGCATACTTCCTATGGCAGATACATCCTAATCACTAACACACTGTTCAAAAAACTAGACGGGAGCCACGCAAACAGCTGATCCCAGACATTTTCTCACTTGGCAGTTACATCATTTGTCCTTGACTTGTGATCATGGCACAGGGACCAATGGATTCTGCTGCATATTCTCATTTTAGTAGATAATAATCTGTCCTGAAGAATTGCTATTTTCAGAAACTAGACACACACACACACACACACACACACACAAATTCATACCACCATGATGAAAACCATGAGGAAGCAGTGTAAAGAGTGGCCCAGAAATATTTTTGAATAGTTCTGGATTACATCATTCATTGGCTTAAAACACATTCAACATTTTCCCATGAACAAACTTCAACCAAGGAGACTCCGGGTCTGCATGTTTTTGGATCAAAGGATCCAATCTGCTTGGCAAGTCTTTAGAATTAACTGGGTGGAAATATTGCAAGACACGTCATCGCTGCCCTCAAAGAAACACACTGTAACACAAAAGGCTCAGCGGCAATCTCTGCGCGTGAGTTAATGGAGTTTGCGAGGGTAGGAAATAATGAAGATTTTGAGTGTTTTAGCTCTTCTGGATGACTGAGCCAAGTGAATGGAAAACGTGTAGCTTAGCACGTTCATTATGACTTTCAAAACCTGCAAGTAATGACCGCAAATAAGGATGTGCACCATCAATCGAACGAGGCTGTAATTTAGTGACTAGGGAAAATATTAAGCTTAGTGTGTAAAAACAGCTTTGGAAATAGTTTCCTCCTGCTACAATCTACTTCATTTTCTTTTTAAAGGTACAGTAGGAAAAGTGAGAGTGATTGCTAAATTTGGCAAAACACTTGACTTTTTTATGGAAATGTCTGACAGATGCAGGTAAGATTTTTAAAAAATGTAAAGAAACTGGGTTGAGGCCAGATTTAATATCAGCGACCCATTTTTCCGAGACACGCTGATTGATATTTTTTCTCTCCAATGAAAAACGTTCTCTCTAGCTCACTATGGAGATACGGAGACAATTTGTGAAAATAAACAAATTTCTTTACACTTTTTTTTTTGTTGCATGAACTCACTTCTTTGAATCCGTCGTTAACCTCCAGTAGAAATGCTTTCTGTCAAAGAGTCTGATATACAGAATGGGGTGGGGGAATGACTGAGAGATACTACAGAGGGAGTGTCCATCCAATAATCATTGAGTTTTTGCCTGTGTTGTCAGTATCACTTAGTTGTCTTTTCCCTGGAGTAATACGGTTCCCTTATTAAGATATGGATATCGGTATCCATTTCAGACAAAGGGACAAAAGAAATATAATGAGGTGTATATTTGTTGAGCTCCAAACTACTCCAACAAAGGTTACAAGAATTGAAGCAATGAGTGCAAAATCAAATCCAGTGAGTGGCAAAGATTTCAACAGCTTAACTGGATTATCAGAAATGAAAATAGTAAATCCATATGTCTCTGTGAGTAAGGCAGTATCCGAAAACCCTGTTAGTCAACATTTCACTCAAGAGAAAGAAGCAAAAAGTCTCACTGGATGCTGGCACTGTATATAAATGAAGACAGTGGGAAAGAAAGACCATGGGTGTGGAGCTGGTGTCCACAAATTGATACTTATTTGCAATTTTCATTAATAATTCTTTGCATTGGAAAAATATAAGAAATAGAGTTGACCTTAATAAAAACCATGTTCCCAATCTCATGCAGTTTTTCCCTAGAGATTAAGATTTGTCTTAGCCTTCCCAAATTGTGGACAAATCCATTTATATGGGAATTCCAAGGGGAAGTTAATATCTGAATTTAATGATCTTCAACAAGATAACTACTAAAATATTTATAATAGCCAACACAACACTGAAAGAAATTAATAGTGCTTGTCTATGTTGAATGAAATTTCTAGTACTCAAAGCAGGCTACCTAAAGCATATAAAATTTCAGTGCTGAAGAAAAACAGATGATAGAAAATATGACTCTACCTTGACAAAGAAAAAAACAACACTTTCATATAAACAAATTTATGACATGATTAAAAGGAGAGTGAGAAGAGTTTCCTGCTTTACAAACTATTTGTTGTAGAGGATGGTCACAGTTTAAAATATGATTCCATTAATTTAAAATCAGTTCATATCCTCAGACATTTCTATTTTGTTTATCAGAGGGCTGGCACACATCAATGTGCAGTCATTATTTTCCCTCTTACTGCTAGTACATAAATAACTGTCACTCTACATGGGCTGGAGGATCAGTGTATAGATGCTGAGTAAGGGCTTATGAGCTGGTTTAAATTAACTGTGGGCAGACAGGTTTATTTGTTTCTTTAATGTTTTCAAAGCATTAAGCAATATATCTATTAATCTACATTCTACAGAGCCGAGACCAGTCTCTCAATATGTGATAGTATTTTTCAGCAGAAATTTCCAAATTAAAGATAAATGAAAGATGTGAACTGGGAGGGGAGGGTGGACTGAAAGACCTCAAATGTAGCATGAATATACTAATGGAATATGCTGAGTGTGGTCAAATAGAACTGAATATCTATACCTAAAAAATATGCCATGATTATAAAAGGGTGTCTAATGCGGGTGACCAGGAAGGGGGAAAGAGAGTAATGGAGGATGAATATTATAGAAGCAGATTATATAGAGATATGAAAATGGCACAATGAAACGCACCAAAAATTAAGGAAGGGGGAGGAAAGAGGGTGGTTAAGAAAGGGTAATATAGGTGAGGTGAATTTGCTCCAAGTACATAATATGCATGTAAATATCACAATGAAACCCCATTGTACAATGGAATTATGCTAAGAAATTTTTAAAGGTTCAGTCTGATCCTCTTATTTGGCAAAACAAGGCAAAGCACCTGTAATTCCTGATGGGAAAGCAATAGTCACATGAAGTTCACACACCTAGAAAAGCAGAAGGTGACACGGTGCCATTGCTCCTTGAAACCATCACACTGATTCCTGTCTCCACAAAGGGCACAGAGAAGTCCACCACTTCAGAACGCTCCTCGTTGATGGTGAGAGAGCCCACTGCCATGACTGCCCGCTGATAGACCACCTGGATGCAAGGCAGAGAAAGAAGGGGACCTTTACTCACCCTTGTCAACACCCTTGGGGAGATGAGGGGCTCTGCTGGACTGAGAGCCTGTAGGGTGAAAAGGTAACTTACTTCACCAATCATTCCATTCCACACATTGTTCACTTTTTTGCCATGCTTCCCATTGGTCACCAGGTAGAGGTCATAGGTGAACTTCACGGTCCTGGAGAGCTTCTTTAAGATATCGATGCAGAATCCCTTGCAACACTTCTTGACATTCATCCCCTCATTCGTTGAATTGCTATGAAGAAAAGCCCAAAGCACAGAATGTTAGTACTAGAAGATTTGCACACTTTGTCTCTATTTTTCAGATGGGACATTGAGACTCATAAAGAGGAAGTGGCTTTCTAAGGACACACAGTGGGTCTATGACAGCAGAAGTAGACAGTATTCTTAATTATAGCAGTTATCGTGAAAACAGCTAACATTGAGCAATTACTATTGATCAGGCACTCTGCTAAGTGCTGTATACTAACTGCTGGCATCACCTCCATGATATTTCTTTGAATTGGGTACTGTCTTACCCCCATTAAACAGGTGAGAGCTAGTATCTCTTAGTATATAGCTTAGTTTATAGCACACACAACCTCTTTACACCAGTGTTTGGTCATCTGATCTAAATTGAATCATAAAATCTTTTTGGAAAATGGAGAGAGATGCATGTGAGAGTCTCAACTGAGACCTATGCTTACAAAGTCTTGAAAGCAAAGAGAAGAAGTGAGGGTCCTTAGAAAACACCTAAGAGTTGGGAGACCTGAGTTCTACCTATGCCTGAGGTTGTGGACCTGACTTCTCTTGATAAAATCACCTGTCACATGAGGTACATTCATAACATTTTCCTGACATGTCTGCATGGCATGAAGTATAAAAGGTGACACTTTTGAAGGGAAGTGTCCTTGATCAGGAAAAAGTTCTATTAGTCCTATAGATGCTATCTTACAGGCAATCTTATAGTCTCCCAGGATTACACAACTGCTTTGTACAGACACCCTGCTTTACTCACTGACCAAGTCTGTTCAAAAGACATTCATGCACATTCTAAGTTCCTATAAAATGAAGGAACACTAGTCTTCCCAAATCAAGTAGGAAATAGTACCCAGACCACCTATGTAGGAAGGCAACCCACTTGATTCCGTCTAGGGCCAGGGCATCCCGTTAGCTCAATATGATCTCTGAGTCATGCATGCCATGAAATATGTGTGTTGTGTGAATATTCCATTTTTGGCATATGTACACCTTGGCATGTTAACTAACCACCAAAATTATGATTATGAAAATTCAACACCATAATAGAAAAAAAATTTTTCACATCATATGAAAAAAGTAGGTGACACAGAGTTATAATCAATAATCACAGCCGTATGACTCCAAATAGTCTTATCAAGTAACTGGATAGAAGAAACAAGGAAATGTTAAGCATAGCTATTTTGGAATGGTGGATTTTTTTTCTTTCTTGTATTTTTGGGATTTCCCCCAAATTATTTAGTAAGTTCATGTATATAATTGGATACACACAGTACACACATCAAGCACAATTTATATATAATATGTATAGATTCCATAATTATGGGCAGTTGACAATTTAACTCTGGCATTTGATGTGGGTTGCAAATGATACTTTTTTTCAATGATTGCCTTTATCTCAGGATCACAGACTGGGTATCCTGAATAATTGTTTTCACCATTCACTACACCGTCCTATCCTGTTCCTCACTTCTACTCCACCATCCTGTGTCCATTAACCGAATCACCATGGAGACTTCACTCTCCAGCATAGAGGCGGGGTGACCTGCTCTAACTCTCACCCCTCAGCTTACGGGTAGTGGAAATCCCCATCTGTATATACACATGATTGTTGATGGACTCAATGCTGTGAAATCATAGGACCACAGATACCTGCTTGATCCCTCCAATTACCCAGAGCAGATGGGGTTAGGATGGAGTTTAAGTTGTCATAAATATGATGGAAATATATCCTAAGTACACGGAGTTTATGGCACCTACAGATACCATTTCCTTACTGGCACACGTGGCTCTGAAATATGTGTCAAAATCAGATTTGCTCTTTCTCTTCCTGCTGTCTGTCCATCACACGTTGAGGCCTCTTCCCCACCTCTGCTCATTTGAACCTCCCTCACTCTCTCCTTCTTCTCTTCTCCTATCACAGCCTCTTTCTTCACCTGGTCAGGATTCCTGGGGGAGTTTAGAGAGAAGTTACAAATGCCCCAGATTTAAAATTCAGGATCATATGCAGTACATATGGCCATCTCTGGTCTCTCTGGGAACCTTAGCCAGCATGTGAGTGAATCTGCTGACCATGATGGGTATTTGTAGATACACATGGGCACCGTGCATTTTTACTAATAGGCACCCACTGAGTTCCTCCTTTGTGCTAGGCAATTTAGCCTTAAAGACAAGGGTGTGAAAGGTATGCAGCAAACACACCAGTTCCACTTATTATGGAAACCATAGAACAGATCAGATTCTAACTGAGAACCTTTGTTGGTTCCTTCCCCAGCCCTTAAGTGTGCAGAAGGGGTGTGACATAACTGTGCAGACACCTGGAAATGGTACCCACGGTACTTTCTCAGCTGTCTACCACCATCCACAAGAAAAGCTGGCTCACAAACATGAACACGGGAAAGGCACTGAATAAGAGGTACAGTTTACTGGCTCTAAGGTTTCCTGGTGAGGCCAGTGGGGTGAACCATCCAGGTCAGATCCCGGGCTCCTACCAACCAGGAAACTCTCATCTCTCCTAGACTCTCAGTTTGCACATTCCTAAACAGAGTGGCTGAAACTTACTTTGCAGGATGACAGGGAAGGTTAAATACAGTTGGTGACCTCAGGTATTTTGTCAGGGCAATTGAAATCCAATTCAGTCATCAATAGAATGATTAATAAATTTCTCAAGGAGAGGTTAGCTGGTTACTATCAAACTTCTCTTTCCTTTGGCTCTCATGAAAGAAATGGATTAGATCCAAATTAGAATTATAAAAATGACAGAGATCTAGTTTATATTTGAAACTGGATGTTGACTTGGCACCGAAATGGGTACAATAAAGCAATTAGATTAAGTTTTAAGTATCAAAGGCACTTCTCATATGAGCAGTTAAAAATAAATTCCCTCCCTTCCCTTCAATAATATGACAGTTGGGAGTTTAGTTGACAGGATGGCCATTTCTCCCTACAAATCAGGCCAAATAATTTCTCTCCATTCTTTAGCACCCGATTAACAGGCCAGAAGAAATGTATCATTCCTCAGCACATCCTGCTTTTCAGATGAATGTGTGCCCTCAAAACTCCACTCAAGAAGTGAGGAACAAAGGGCTTTCCCTGGAGGGTATTTCCAAGAAAACAAAGTCAGCCACATTGACTGGCAGAAATCTTTCTGCCTACTGCAAGACTTCACACTTGGTTTCCTAATCCAGGATAATGTTGGGATTAGTGAATCCTAGTAATTTTCTATTGATCTCAGAAAAGTCAAAGACTTTAATTTCACCTAGCACACAGGCACACAGACTTCTCATGTTCCCACGTGGCAAAAAGAAAGCTCCAAGCTACCACCTCCCCAAAACGTGAACTTGGTGCTTACAGTCTTCAGTAGAAAAGCATGTTCTCTTAAAGAGAGTAATTTATTTGGGTTCATTTTCCTTCATACTAATGCAACTCCAGACTTGACAATCTACTTTTTTTTTTTTTGGCAGTACTGGGGTTTGAACTCAGGACCTCACACTTGCTGGGCAGGTGCTCTTACTGCTTGAGCCACTCTACTCCACCAGCCCCCTTCCTTTTATTGTGATTTTTTTTTTTCAAAACAGGGTCTCTCAAACTATTTGCCTCAGTTGGCTTCGAACAGCAATCCACGTGATCTCTGCGTCCTGTGTAGCTAGGATTACACGGGAGTGACAGCTGGTGATCTACTCTTTGTCAGCTCCAAGGTTAAAGACTTAAATTCCTCTTATTGATTGTGAAACACAAGAAGCCCCACGTGATCCCAGTGAAACACAGAGGCCGTTGTGATTATAAAGGAGGCATTGCACTGAAGTTATGCTCTCTCCCTTGTGCCAGACAAACCTCAGCTTTCTTCATCTGACCAACTTCTGCTCAAAGGACATCTGCTCAGATCTGAACCTCCTTGGACAACGTTCGTTCGTTCCCACACTCTCACCTCTATGGCCTTCCAGCTCATCGCTGTCTTGCACTCACTGGTTTCCTTTTGTTTCCCCTCTTTGCTGAGCTTCTTTCTTCCCCGGGCCTTTGCAACTGCTGCTCCCCTCTACCTGGAGATTTTTCTCCCAGACTCTCACATATCTGGCTCCTTCTCCTTTATACATCACCTTACACCTTAGCCATGAGAGCTGGGGTACCTCACAGACCTCAGCTTACTCTCTTATCACACCGTCTTTATTTATCTCCTTCACAAGGTCTATCACAGCACGGAGGCGCCCTGTCCCTTCATTGGCTGATTTGTTTCCAGCTGTGTTCATCACTTGACTGCAGGATCTTTATCTCCTGTGTTCATCAATGTCTCCTCTTAACACACAAACTGCTTGAGTGTATTTATGTATTTACTTAAATATATTCACTTATATTTTCATAATTTTATTTTTCATTTAGCTGCAAGAGAATTCAACAAAAATGGTTAAAACATCATTTCCCTAAATTGGAGTAGCCTACTTGCCTTTCTTTGGCATGCTGTGCCTCCTTTTCATCCCATGGGGCGGGACAGTGCACCTGGGGAACTGTTTACCAAAGAAAGTAGGAGCCACAGAGGGGGGCACTGGAGAGGGGAAGGCCTATTTAAAAGGGATATATTTATTTCTTTCATGATTTACTCAGAATTTCAACTCCAAAGAGACTAACTTCAACAACTTCTTCATAAAATTTTCTCCAGAACAAAATGTGTTTTCATAATGCATTTAGCAATCATGTATTTTTTAAAACAAAATGTGTACCTGACCCCAAACACTAAGACCTGGGAACTTGTACTTTGGGCAGTAATGACTGAAGTTGGAGTTTATACTGGAGTGGGGGAGTAAGTTTCCATTCATTATGTAGTCATTCAGCAAACCACAGTGCATTGTGCTCTGTACTAATGATTGAGGGTACAAAGATTAATAAGCCACATCCACATTCTCTATATTTAGGTAGCTTGTCATCCAGTGAGAAAGACAGTCCAACAATAGAAACAGGTGATCAGGGCAGAGGTGGAGAGTAGCCGGGTGCCTACAGTGGAAGGAGGCAGAGCTAAGCTCAACTTGGGGAAAGAGTGGCTAGACTTAAAGAGCAAGTTAGAAGTGGTCAGGTGGGAGGGGGTGATCAAAAACACCCAGAAAACATATTTCCATCCAACAGCAAGCCTTTCCCTTTTGTGAGTCCCACACCGGTGGTATTTTGTTTCCATCTGCATTAGGAAAAATCAGGCCCTTGGACTTGAAGACTTCTGTGTCCCCAAAGGGTTCATACATCCAGGGGAAGCCTTAATCCACAATGGTTGCTTTCTTCAATAAGGAAATGACACAGATGCGGCAATGCATGCATGAGGGGAGGGCTAGGAAAGCACCAGAAGTTCAGTTTCTACCTGAAACTCATCCAAAAGTCACTTGGAAGGTGTGACCACCTGAAACAGAGACAGAGTCTTCAAATTCTTGGAAAGTGTGGATCTGGGAAGTATGGAAGAAAGAAGAGTGGAGGAGAAGGAAGGGTGAAAGGGGCAACCATACAAGAGAAAAGACTTAAATGATGGTCAAAATCACATCACAGCTTCCAGGTCAGCTGGACCGGATTTGAGCCCCGCCTCTCCCATTCACTTTCTGCATGGCTTTGGGTACGTTTCTTAATTTTCCTGTAACTCCATTTTGTCATGGGCAAACTAGTCTTTCTGTTGAAATTAACTAACCGCACACTGGCTGTCTCTAGGCAGTGTCTGAAGTCTCTTCGTCTGTTGTTATGCGATGGGGTCCGTTTTATATCGCACACCATGACCGAATTGTAGGCACTGTTAACAGTTATTTAAAAGGATTGTGCACGTTCGGCCAGCAGCATCCCGGGCACTCACTTGATTTTGACAAACTTGCGACAGGGTACCGTGTTCCTCACACAGGTCTCAGTCAGCGGGTCTATGTCCTCCACGATGACGAAGGGGGCTTCCTCCAGGGTGACGATGCTCAGGTGGTTGTCGTCTGGCTCACAGTCAGAAAAGGACTTGTACCTCGGCCACACGGCATGCCTCAGGCTCAGCGTCTGGTTCTCCCACTTGCCCACCTGTGTCAGAAACACAAAGACACACCCGTGTTTTCTTGCACCACCGACTTTTCAAAGGGCAAATCCTTCTGCACGGGAGGATGTGTCAATCTCACGGGCTTTTCTGCTACCTACCTCAACACATGCTTCCACTTACCTGCAAAGGAAACTGCGGAAAGGGGGAGCACAGACTATTGGGCAGCTCCCCACCCACCCCAGACCCTTCTGCAGTGCTTGGGTGATACCCAAGCACTAATACTTTTGGGGCTTCCCAGGAATTTCCAATGCTCTGCCTAAATTCAGGGCCACAGATGTTTCTGTGGACTTTTAGGATACAGCGTAGACTTTTAGGATACAGAGGTGTGGATTTGAATGCCCAGATCTGTCACTTACTATCTGTACAACTGTAAACTCTTCATGTGTGACATGAGCATGGTTCCACCTGCTTCCTATGATGGTATGACAACCAAATAAGACAGGGTAGGAAAAGCACAGTGCCCTGCACAGAGTAGGCATTGCATACTGTTCCTCAAGGCAAAGAGGAGGGACTATGAAAAGGAGAAAGATAAAAACGTGCCCTCTTTTTAAAGGACAGTCAAGAACAAAGAAGAGAAAGGGACCACTGGAAGAGCCAACGCCAGGAGGGCAGAGCTGGTGATGGAATTTGGGGTCTCATTTCCATCCCGGATAGGGTTCCTCTAAGGCGCAAATTAAAGTGAACGTCTATTAATCCACACCGAGTGGAGACCGTTACTGCTTAGCACGCACGAAGACCCGTTAAAATTGAATCGATTGTATTCCCTCCCAGCAGCCACCAGCATCTCAGTGAAATCAAATTGAAGGCTGTATGTTTTGAACCTTAATTTTATTTGACAGTGTATTGGCACTGTTCACATATGCACTGGGAAAAGGCCGCCCCCAAGTGGCACTTTCTCCTTCCCCCTCCTGTGCGATTGCCTGACACCACAGGTCACTGCTTTATTTGTAATACCAATCTCAAGGAAAACACCTCGTCTGGAAAGCTGAAGTGCCAAGTGCAGGCTTGTCTGCGCTGACGTGACCCACTCACCTCTCCTTGGGCAACTTTAAGTGTCACCAGAAATGAATCTCCAGCCCTTAAAGAGAATTCAGACACACAGAGCACCACGGGACGATGGGGTAGGGAAAGAATACAATCCTCCCTCTCTGGCATTACCTCATCATTGGCACTGGGAGGTTTTTACTGGCTGTAAGGGAACATCTCATGTGGCTAATTAGAAAATTGTCTAGCTTCGGTGACAGTGTCCTTTTTAACGTGCAAAGGTCAGCCGAGTGATTTGGTCACACACACATGCTCATCTGTGCACACTGTGGTGCAAAACACAGACTCAGGAGAATATTGAGCCCATTACGATTTTCATTATTCAGCATAGGTTTATCGAACACCTACTGTGTGTCATCAACAGAATGGAGCCTTCTTGGAGCTCTCGGTCAGCTGCAGGACGCGATCAAACGGTAACACGACATAGGCAAGTATATTAAAAGAGTCACATGCTTTTCCTTTTGGAACATGTTGTACCAACACCTTTCCTCTCCATTTACCTTGGAAAATTCAAATACAGCCTTCAAGAGAGGCTGAGTAGTGGAGTGGAGAAGAGAATGGCTTTGATATCACATAGTACTAAGCATTCGTCCTGGCTTCACCTTCCAGCTGAGTAGCCTTGGGAAGGTCACTTAACCTCTCTGAGCTTCACTTTCTCCACGTGTACAATGCCTCAAAAGACCACAGTGAGGTCTGAATAAGTCAAAAATGTAGATAATACACAGAGCACAAAACCTAGCATGACACATAACGGGCATGGTACTTGCTATTATTTGACTGTTGAAGACAGAGCTCAAATATCACCTTATCTGTAAAATCATTCTCACTTTCCCTGGTAATCCAGAATTGTGCAGTGACCTTGATACAAGGTCACTTTGCACACATCTGTATAGTCAGAAAATGTGCTCATATCCCCTTTTAGTCTAATCCCCCAAATCTTACATGGTAAAGATTATCATCCCAACTTCCCCATTCAGGGAACTGGAGCACAGAGAGGTTATGTGATTTGTCCCAACTCACACAGTGGAACCAGAGTTATATACCATGGGGCTGTCCGACACCAAAGGTGCTTTCCCACTGTGAACTTAGTGCTTCTGTTTATTGAGGGCAGTAACCGAGCTACAGGTCCAAGGCTCTTCCTTCCTTATAGACATGGTTCCTAAAGCCCCAAGAAAACACCAGTTAAGGCAGACATTTAGGTAGCAGAATCTCTAGTAATGATTGCCCACACCACACACTCTACACCATGGTAGAAGTTGCAAGCCAAAGTTGACTTATGGGGAAAGAGAGGTCAAAAAGGTGTCTTAGTGCCCAGAGTACAGTAACTCCCTAAATGTCCTCTTCCTGACACATCCAAGCAAGCACGCAAGGGTCAGCCAAGGAAAATGAAGGCACATGGCCATGAACTAATCAGGGACTGAACTTGCAGCGTAAATATCATCCTGGACCCTGAGAGCTCTTACCTGCTTCTCTTCCATAGCCCGTTTTAACACCAAAATTCTCAACTACAAAATTGTATATACCAGATTGGGGGGAACGGACATGGTTCCTGTATTAGTATTTCCGAGGGACTATAACTGAATCCATGTTTGTAGACAAGTTTAGGAGAGATTCAGTCATTCCCTAAGTATTTGTTGACTGGCCACTAGGTGTGAAGCACTCCATTTAAACTCCAAGGATACTGTAGCGTAAAAAGGTTGTCTTGCATGGAATTTTTATGCTAACTAGGAAGACACAAGAGTTAAATAATCACATACAACATTCATTGTGCAAACTGGAAGGAGGAAATGAAATGTGAGTCTAAGAAAACATATGAGTGAAAGAAATCAGAGAGAGTTTCCCCTAGGATGGGGCACTTACACCAAGATTGAAAACCCAGGATGAGCTGAGGTGAGCGGGGAAGGTTGCTGGGAGACAAAGGAAGGGGCAGCACTCCAGGCAGGCAGGACACAGGTGATACAAGACCTTGGAGGTCTTATTAAGGAGTCATGATTTAACCTAAGCATTTGCGAAGACAGAATATTTTGCTACTTTAGAATTCATGTGTTGAAACCTAACTTTCAATATGATTAGGAGTTGGGGTCTTGGGGAGTTAATTAGGTCATGAGGATGGAGCCCTTGTGAATGGAGTTAGTGTCCTTATAAAAACAGGCCCCAGAGAGGTCCTGCCCCTTCCACACACTTCCATGTGTGCTATTAGCCTACGTACTGGAAATATATACCTGAAACATGCATGGATCCCAGTGACATTTCAAGAATCAACAGCATTGCTATAGAACTCCTCCCCACGCTCCCTCACTTGGTGCAGGGAGAAATAAGTCTTCAAAATCATTAATATCATGGGCTTAGTGATCAGACGTGCAGATGGGCAGGTTCAAATCGTGCCACTGCCCTTAGCTGTGTGACTCGTACAAGCCAGGTCATCTTCCTTCACCCATAAAATGAATTTCTGTGTGGTTGTGAATGTTGTAAGTGATACAATGACAACAAACATCTCTGAATGCACAGTTCCTGGCTCACAGGGAGTTTTCTGTGATGGTACTTTATTGCTAATTCAGCATTTATTAAGCTTTCGTTAGGAAAAAATGACAAATGTTTGTAGCAAAAGTACCAGTAAGGGAGTGAAGCCCTGAGTTCCTACTGTGACACGCCCTTCCCTTTTGGCCTCTTGGTTAGGGTCTTCATCTTCTCACCTACAACAGAAGTACAGGAGCTTAGGACCAGGTGACCTTTAAGGTCTTCAGATCTGAAATTCTATGCAAAGTGCAGGGATAAGTTGCTCTCCTAACTCTTCCCAGATTTGAAATCAAGGTAATGAGTAGAAAAAACGTGAAAGGTTTATGCAATCCGAAGAGAACCAGAGGGTAGGGAATGAACAGAAAACTGGAAGAAGGGTAACGCTGGCATCCCTGTATTGATGGTTAATTCTGGATATGTTGGGGTAGTCTTGTGTCTGGGGAGAAGGAACAGCAAAGAATAGCCAAATGATGTGCCTGTCTCTGAAGAGGTGACAGGAGGGCTCCGAGAACCAAGCCTGAGATCAGTGATCTCAAAGACTGAGATCAATAGAGGGATCTTTGTTGGCAGTTCTCCACGCTGAGCGGAGGCTGCACTGAAAGCTGACTCTTTCTAATTCACTTGAGGGAAGCATGAGTTTAAGTCTTGACGCAGCCATGCCCCATCTATGGCACTTTGGACAATGGCAAAGTAAATTGCTAAGATGTGTTGAGGTTTTACTATGTGTTTCCAGGAAGAGTGCTGAGGGCTTTCATGTTTGTGACTCAATCCTCCAACAGTCTCTGTGGTAGGGAACTACCATAAACTGTAATTATCCTCTTTGCATGAGGAAGAAACCGAGGTTGGAAGAGATGAAGGATCTTGCTCAGATCACACCATCATGGTTACCATGGGAATTAAACTCCGTCAATGAAAACCTACAGCACAAACCACTCTTTGAAATTTGGGTTCTTAATATTTTAAAGATGCCTATCTCATGAAGTTGTAAGGATTGGATGAGATGACAAAAATAAGTCATTCTGTTTCTACTGTTCTGAGAACTTTAAATATCAATCCATGCAATGCTAAAACTAGACCCATGAATAACACACTACTTTTATTATCTCTGTTTCATAGATGAGTAAACTGAGGCATGGAGTTTCAGGAACTTGCCTACAGGGCTTGAGAGTGGTAAAATCAAGATTTGACCCCCAAACTCCTTTTAAATCATTTGAGAAATGAGTTAAGGGTTTTGTTGGGATATATAGACTAATTTACAAAGCAGAAGCCTAACAACACTACTTCAGCCAGATGATTAAATCCATCAACCTCACGTCAACTACAGTGAGTCATTCTGACAATACGCATCACTGCGATGAAGTGATAACATGTGGTTTAACCATAAGAAAACATATCCGAAAAAAAAATCTCAATTTAAGAGCAT